ACCACTCCTAATTGACTCCAATGTCTTAATCCTCTCGCACCAGTATTTAGAGGACGCCCACTCTCTTCACGGTGACACTCTTGTCCTCAAAGTTCAAATTTCCAACGCTATGGTCAATCGCATTACGGTAGTATGAGATTAAATATTGAATTTTGTCCTTTGACTTTATATGCAACTTACAATTTTTCATATATTACCCAAATTAGCTAATTTCGAGCCTAATTTTGTTCATTACTGATTTCAAACCTAGTTTTAATTTGAATTTTTTAAATCTAATTTTTAGTTGGAGTCGTATGTGTACATAAAAGAAAAGCTTTTATTGCATGTGTACGTACATATTCATGAATATGTTTGTGATCATGATTATGTAGTAAGGTTTTCATATCTGTATACTTGCATTTTTGTACCTATAGCTTATCATTGTTCATGTATGGATAACAACTTCTTTGCATGTTGATGTACTGGTCTTGAGAGCTAGATTTATAGGGCTCACTCCATGTCGAACTTGAATGATCTGAACTGTTATTTTGTAAGTCTCGATTCATAGATCATCTTTGCAAAAATTCAATTCAATCCAGAAACATTTGTCTATTTCATTATCATGATGGAATTTATTGTCTCTTATAGAATAAAGTGTTCGTCAATTTCTTTGAACTCAATTAGATATCTCAAATATTTCAGATTTGGCTAATATTTTTCAAAGATGATTGATGAGGTGCAACTTGAAAAATAGACGGTTCAGATCATTGAATTTCGATGTGGTGTGAGCCTACAACTATTATGCATCCAAGTAAGATCAATTCCATTTTAATAACTAAATTTGTAAATGGCTCAACACATATTTTAGCATCTTATAGCCCTTATATTCCAATATGTGATAGAAAAATGTTTGCGTCCATGAGAATTTTTGGTACAGTCTAGTGGTATTCCTCTTCACTTGTAAGTCAAAGGTTTTAGGTTAGATTCCGCCAAAGGCAAATTTGAACTATATTATTGTTAGCCCATTGTGAGGCTAAACCCACCCTCTTCCCTTGTGTAAATAATATTGTTTGTTAAAAAAAAATTGAATATTTTCAACCATGGATTTTTATTAGACACAAAAGTCGAGGACAAAAATCATGACTGGGCTAAAATGTAATTCACCTCTACACATTTTATAGGTATAACTCAAGGTAAGCAGTTTTTATTGTGGACCAAAACTTCAGAAAATGATCTAACCTGGATGTATAATTGAGTTTATGCATTTTAATGGTTAAATTCATAAATATCTCGACCACATATGGACTTAATATCGTGGCATCTTTTAGCCTCTATATTGGTATTGTGGCAAAAAAATGTGTACCTCCATGAGAACATTTGTAGATCAATGAATAATTTCAATCTGGTATTTATTAGATACCAGAAATTATAAGTCTATTCGTGAAAGTCCAAGTCAAGCTGAATAATACTAATTAGTAATACAACTTTTGCATGATGTTTACTTATAACCAAGTGGCATGAAGGAACAAATGCGTATGTTTCATGCATGACTTGGAATAGTATTAGTCGTTGCGAGATTTTGCATCACTTTGTCTTTGTTTTTAATATGTATATATTAAGTCCTATTTTTATGGGAGTGCATTTTTGTTTACCATTCTCAAATTGTGATAATGTTCACCATTTTATTCATCGATGTGAGTTGAGTTTAATTAAATTTTGAGATTGTATCTATACACCACAGATTTTAAAATTCAAACTCATCTAATAATAATAAATTGAGTTATAAGCATCACCGTCACTTGGCCATGACTTTGTGGAAAAGAAAAACGGAATGTACTTTAAGGGCCAATGCAATTTGATTGGCATGTGTGACTTTGCGAGGATGGTGACCTCTGTCGATTAAGACAAAGACTTTGAGTTTATGACGCAGACATCAAGCTGCGTGTATGATTTTTATTTATTTTATTTTAATTTTTTGGGGTTTTTGAACTTTAATCCTTGAAGAAGATTAAAATTTAATAAAAACATGGTATTAGATTGGATATTGATTTTAGTCCTTTAATGTGTACTTAATTCAAATTTATATTATATTTTTGTTTTAATATTTAATAGATATCTTATTTAATATTGTTACATTAAAATTAAAATTATTTATAATTATACACATTTTAATTCATTATATTTATTTTACTTCCTCTAATTAGTCTACCTAAACGTCCATATCATAATATATTTTACTAAATTAGTGTACTGAAATGTCCATACCTAAATATATTGTAGTGAATTAGTTGTCACATTCCGGCTTGGGCCCTCACCACATCTCGGGCTCGACTCAACCATGGCACAATATTGTCCGCTACGGGCCTCTACCACGCTCTAACGGTTTTGTTTCTGAGAACTCACACGAGAACTTCTCAGTGGGTTACCCATCCTGGGAATGCTCTCACCCGAACTCGCTTAACTTCGGAGTTCCTACAGAATCCAAAGCTAGTGAGTTCCCAAAAGGTCACGTGCTAGATAGAGATGAAAATATACACATAAGGCTTACATGATCCACTCTTTTGGGCGATGTGGGATGTCACAATCCACCCCCTTTTAAGGGCTCGACGTCCTCGTCGGCACACATCCAGCCAAGGATTGGCTCTGATACTAAATCGGGCTCGACTCCACCGTAGCACGATATTATCCGCTTTGGGCCCCTACCACACCCTCACAGTTTTGTTTCTAGGAACTCACACGAGAACTTCCTAGTAGACCATCCATCTTGGGAATGCTCTCACCCGAGCTCGCTTAACTTAGGAGTTCCTACGAAACCCGAAGCCATCGAGTTCCCAAAAGGTCTCGTGCTATGTAGAGATAGCAATATACATATAAGGCTTACAGGATCCACTCTCTTGGGCGATGTGAGATGTCACATTAGTGGCACATAAGAAAATATGCAAAAACATAAGTGTACTGAAAAATTCCATGCCTAAATATATAATATTAAATTAGGATACCGAAATGTCAGTACCTAAATATATTATAATAAACTAGTGTACCGAAATGTCTATACCTAAAGATATTATACTAACCTAGTGTACCGAAATATTCATACATAAATATATTGTAATGAATTAGCGCCACATAAGAAAATATGCAAAAACATGTGTACCGAATAATCTTTAGGAAAATATTTTCTTATATAAGATACTTATCATAATGAGAATTAAAATTTATAATATTTTCATGAAATTTAATTTATGAACACCATAAAATTATAAATAAAAAAGAAAGATATTTGATATGCTGGCATGAAATAGAGTCTAGAAACTATAATCAATTTTTAATCTTTTATAAGACATTTTTCTAAACTTCATCTTATTTGAAGATTAAAATATAATTTCGCAAAGACTTTCAGTTTTTCTATTAAAAACAAAGACTTCCTTCAGTCTTCCAACTAGTGCCTGACGCATGCGATAACCAATACGGGTTTGTTGTCATGCGTGATCCTTTTTCTCTTTTTTTTTTTTTCTTCTGTATTTTTAAACATACTTAGGACTTGTGGGCTTATTTTTTTACTCTCTCACGTCATTTTTTTTTTTTTCCTCTCCTCTTCATTACAAATTGTTTCTTAAAAATTTATTAATAAAACTTAACGGTTTCTTCATAAACTTTGATTGTTTCTTAATAAAAGTTGACTATTTCTTAAAGAAACAAAGTAACACTAAAAAAGTTGACTGATTTTAAAAAAATGTTTGATTGTAATCAAACCTTTGTCCACAAGACAAGAAAACCTAAACTAAATCGAATCAAATAGAATCTCTAATTACATCAAATCTCTAAAATACTTTCTTTTATGTTTTCCAGGAAAAACATATTGGACTTAGTTGCTTATTCTGATCAGATTGGGCCAATTGTCCCAAGAGACTCGATGTTCCACCACTTGTGGTAAGTGTGGAATCTAATTGCATTGAATCCCATCTATCATCGACTGAACCAACTTTTGTCAACATGACAATATTAAAACTATGATTGAATGCCAATCGCTGTTCTAAAAATCCTACCAATCATAATTAATCTCTAAGCATTTGAAAATTAAGAAAGGGATGGATTTGCTAATACACGAGAGAAACTTAGGTAGATTGACGAATTATATAAAATAAATTTACATGTAATTACTATTATTACAGCATCTTAGGCAATAATACAATGTAAAGTGAACAAAATTAACTCACGATTTAGGTAGCCCTCGCACCAAATGTACCGAACTTACGGTTGACAGAACTAAAATACAGAGAGTCGTGCTTTCATAAGATGTGCCATTTTTCTCTGTTGTATAGATTAGCCTACAAAGTCTTGAACTTTCACCTTCCCTCCTCCACGTATTGGATGAGCTCAAATGAAAATGTCACAGATGGAAAGGTACATGGCCAAGAGTTCTCATCAGAGCAACTGATCATTCACGGATCACTTTGACGATGAAGCCAAACTTGATCGTTGGAGGGCAGGCACCAGACAGTCACGAAAAATGGATTAGAAGACGAAAGGTTCAGTCTTCTGGGGACAACGAGGAGAATTTTGCAAGCATCGGAAAAATATTTCATTCATTGACCGATAATTGCGTTACTGAGCTCACAAATTCGTGTTACTACAATTTCTTCGCTAACTCATTATCCGATTTAACGTAAGAACAGTAGTGTCATTTGTGTTTTTCACCCTCAAACCATGGATTATGACGAGTAACATCGAAGGTTTCAGCGTTTAAAGTTCAAATCTTTCCTCCTTTGTAGTCTCCTTTCATATAGAGTTGTTATCGCTTGCAAAATAAATACCTTAATCACAGAGTCGTTTACGCGCATTGATTCTTGGGTGCAAGCCTCTATCGAAAATCATTTTGTTAGGAAAAATGATTTCCGCACACTTACTCGATTCAAATGCCAAAAATGAAGAAAAGGGATGCACGGAAGTCACTTAACTTTTGCAAAGTGTACAGCGTGCCTGACTGGAAGAGCTATAAGAGCTCGAACTGCTGCACAAACTAGAGGCAAACGGCTCGTATTTCATGTTTGAATAGTTGATAAGCTACACAAAGTGGAAAGTTTTGTATAGAATCTGATCATATATAAACTCTACAAAGTGTTTTGCAGAGACTACTTACGATACAATGGACCGAAAACACTTGCACAACACCACAGAAACGGAACACCAAGAATAGTCGATTGAACGATTCATACAAGTACAGTGTCATCAATGGCTCGAAAAGCATAGTTCGAAACAGAGCATGGCAACAGAGATCAATGAATACCTTCTTCATGCTAGGGACCTCACTGCTGTTCCTGTGGGAACTCACCTGCTTTTGCTTCCCCTGCGGACGTTCCTTGTGTTGCGCCCATGCCCATAACCTCACCAGGGGGTGGGTGATCGAATTTGCAGGATGCACCATACTTGCACGTGCCAGTTTTCAGGTAATACACACAGATAGCAACACCCTGTAGAAAGGTTCTGCCCTTATTAGAAATCTTACATACCAAGATTTCAGACAATACGTAACACCTCGATAGACTAAAATTTTCAAAGGAAAATAATCAAAATATACGATATGGATTAAATGCATCAGGATCACTTCTGAATGAACAAAAGGGTAGTTGTATCTTCTACTATCGACATTTCTCCAATTCAAGTACAAACGGGGAGATCCTTTTCCCCCTATGAAAAAGCTTTTAGGACCTTGGCCCCAGTACATGAACTAAAACATAATTGTGGAAAGGAAAGAAGTCCAGAACAACCCAGCACAAAAAATACAGCATTATTCTAGTTTTTCTAGTTCACTCATCAATCAAGGAACTGTCAAGAGCCCAAAGCTAACGTTAAGAGTGTCTACAGCCACATGGTTCTCTGTTATTAAAGACCTTTCACAATGTTTGAGGCAGGTTATGCAAACAAAGAAGGCAGGTGAGATTTGATCCAACAATTGGGGGCCAAGCATGCCAACATGCCTACTAATGCACAGAAATAGAAATATCAAGCCGTTTGAGAAAAGTTACAAAGTTGCTGGAGAAGAGTTCTCAAGCTTTTTGGAAAATACTAATACCGTCCTGGACCCTCTACTAAAAAAAGACTTGGTACAATCGCAACAACTGTTCTAAAGAGAAGGATCATACCTCTCTCCGAGGTAGTCCAGCAAGAGTTAGCTTAACGTTTGCTTCTTGAACTGGCACTGCCTTTGGTGTCGACAGCGCCACTACTGACCTATCAATTGGATGATGAAATTTGCATAGTTCACCAAACTTACATTCCCCTGTCTTCATATAGTACTGCAGCATGGAAAAATCAACAAACGTGAGAAGTCATCATTAGGGTTCCAAAGTTTCAGAAAAATGAGAATCATTTATGGACAAATCTGTACTGGCAGAGTTATAGACAAATCTGCATTTTATAAAAACAAACAAATAGTTCAAGACGAAGTTTTAGACCCATGTGCATAAAAATAAAATTCATTTAACAAGAGGGTGAAGAAGAATGCTTACATCACATTCAATCTGTCCAATGCGTTGAGGATACACAGTTGGGCCGACTCCCACCTAAAACAAAAAATTAAGTAACATGAGTAAACCTTTAAGCAAACAAATACGAAGATGGAAGTTTTACAACAACGTGCCATGGCACTCCCAGTATGTAGCCATGTGCTATCCTTTCTTCTTTTTCTTCATGGTGTAAACAAAAAGCAGTAAGACAAAAGATACAATATGATTGGTATATGTACCGTTGGCTGAGCCAAAGTTTGATAAATGGAGGCAGCCGGATCAATGACTCCTATGTTCAGACCTGCAGCCTGAGTGGCTACAATTGGATGGCTGATTGCAGCAATTGACGGATTGATTGCTGTACAAAAACTTTTAAGCAATGAAATTCTGATGCCCCACCGTATTTGATAAACAATTGAAACTATGACATGCAAAACTGAACCCAGGAATCTTGAACATCAGAATCTTAAATATACCATATCTATCAGGATGATTGTAGCGGCAAGTTGCCCCATACTTGCAACTGATTCAGAAAACAAATCCATTTAAGAATTCTCGGTCACCTTTCAATTTAATCAGAGTATATTACTTATCAACAAAACTTAGACATATGCTCACCTTCCAGTTTTCAGGTAGAATGGACAATCAGGTTCACCCTGTTTGAAGCAAGAGATACACAATCAAAAGAAATTCACAAAATTATAAAGCTGTAAATCAAAACAAGAAAGAATGAACAAGATATGCAGTTAATGAAGAAGGGGTAATAAAAGGATCATGCAGTACTTCATCCCTCCATTTATTATCAAAGGTACATTACCGGTCTTACAGGAAGCTCCTTGGTGTTATATAATAATGCAGGGGTAAATGAAATAGGAGCCTTAACAGAAAATCCAGTTCCCTCTGTCTTGATAGCCGTATCAGTTTCTCCAGCTTTGTTCTCTTGGTTAGCTGATGGTATTTGGATATCTTTCGGGTGATGAAATTTGCAGGTCACACCAAATTTACATTGCCCAGTTTTCAAGTAGAACTGTTTAAAAAAATATAGAATGGAATGTAAACAAATCAACATTATAAACAGATAGATAATGAACACCACAGGAGTAATGGAAATATATCTTACTGCGCATGGGGGTTCAGATGGCCTCTCAGGTAAGGTAAAAACATCAGCATTTTCTGAAGCATCCTGAAACCAGAGTTAAGCATGAGAGAATAAGTCCAGATTACAGTCAAGTCTTGGATAATATATATATCATCCGCACTTACAGAAGCAATCACTTTATCCTTCGGATGATTAAACTTGCACCTCATACCAAATTTGCATCTTTGAGTCTTTATAAAGTACTGCAACATATAAATGGAAAAGAATCAATGAACAGTTCAAGTGCTTAAATGCATTATTTCTGCAAAAAGAAGAAAGAATAGAACTTCTACTTACAGGACAATCTGGTGCTCCTGGTCTCTCAGGAAGGACTTCAGTTGGAGCAACAAGTGGAACCTAAATAAACCAGAGATTAATTTTATTTGTATAGCAATTGATAGGCAAATAGAAAATAGCCCGTGAACAAAATTAACAGCTGCAATCTTTGATCAACAGCTTCAGTTTCTATATTCAATAGATTCCTAATGAAGATAATATAGGAGGCAGAAAAGAGAAAACACTTCCTCTATTTAATATATTTCATGCAGAAAACTCATGATATTAAGCAAGTAGGTAATCATGAGATTGTATCCCTATGTACATAAAATTTAAGGCAATAATATAGGTGTAAGCCTAAAAATTAGGTCCATCTAGTCATGAAATCTTAGAATAACACAAATCATACATTTAATTAATATATTCGTCTAAATTCGCACGTCATCTGGCAAATGGTTTATCAGATGAAAGCCCCTTTTACATGATTCTAAGCAAAGTAAAGTATGTGTCTACAAAGATGTCAAAGTTTCTAACTTGACTCCACGAACGTTACGTCACCATCTCCAATAAATTTTAGCAACCTGCCAACACAGCTTCCAAGCAATTCTTAATGCATTCCCACAGCCTTCACAATCACCAATAACCAATTTGTCTTTCAAACATATGAAGGTACAAGTACTCTCCTCAACTTGTCAATTCCTATAAACAACCCAATCACTTGGAACTTTAGTTTCAAATCATGTCCACAACAACTTCAACATAGGAGCAAAATCTCCCCAAAGAACCAAAATTCAGATTTCGGTGCAGGACAGTGTTCTAGAGAGCCCGCACAAAAGGATTCTCAAAACTCAGTAACACAATGAGTTTTTAAAAAATGCATGTGCTAAGGCATTGAAGAAACTCTTTGGATAATCAATAACACTTGCAAAAACCTCTTAGACTATGGAAAAATATAACTTACGGTTTCAAAGTGAAAACACCCAACAACCAAGTCAAAAGCTCAAAACTAACCATAGCTATATTTTATTTTCCAAGGGTAAAACTACCCTGCTACATTCTACCAAATTCTTCAAATTCGAGACCTAGGACACTTTACCGAGCAGAGATTCAGCAAACATTAATCAAATCATTCTACCAAAATTCGGCTTAAAAACATTATTGCATCGGGTATTACCTTTTCTAAGTGTAAGAGTTTAGCTGACAAATCTTCCTTCACAATATACGGAATCAAACCAAATATGTTCAACATAGCTTAAAGATGGTATAATGTCCACAATGAAAAACATGATAGACAAGGTGTAGTGGGACGGGATTAGCCAACACAATGTACCCTAATACCCTCTTTCTAATCAGCAGTTCACTACATGACTATTTAATCAGATGTCAACATACAACTAACTGGGGTCAATGAAATGATAACAAATTATGAAGAAATCATAATATTTTTTTGAAAACCAAAAATTCTGTAAAGTCCAATAGGTGTAGTAGATTAAAGAAAGAGAAAGTGAGAAACAATAGATTTCCTTACTACTGACTTAAGTACCAATTCAGCCTCGCTGGCTGAATTTTGTACAGAAGATTTAGCAGGTAGACAAACTATAGAATAGATAGATACAACAGTAAAATTTCAAAATAAAAAGTTGTACTCTGATGCAGACTATAGAGCTCTATAATGTATAAGAAAGTATAGACATAAGCAAATAAATCTCATCATTATTCATTAGTAGTATTCGTACATTCAAAGAACAACCATACAACGCAGTAATAACAAATAGTTTTAAGATACGATTACTTAGCTCAAACTAAAGAAATTTATTTTAGATATAAAATTTAAGAAGTTATAATACTAAATACTAATTTCGTATGTATAGTATGATAAAATACCACTATAGGCATGTAATATAACAATAAAACAGTCACCTCTTTCCAATCTGGGATTCCACCCTCAGGAACCCAAATAGGATGGTCAAATTTGCAGCTCTCTCCAAATTTACAGGTTCTTGTGAGCATATAATGGGCACAATCCTTCTCTCCTGGCCTCTGTGGATATATAGGCAAAGTGCTTGCACCCTCGTATCTAGGGCGCTTGGCTAACGCAGCATACCAAGCTTCTTGCCCAATCGTATTATAGGCACCCATATAACTCTGATGGTAGAGTGCTATAGTAGTAGACACGTATATACAAGAAAACCAGAGGAAACATATAGGTAACATTATAAGTATCGCTTTAAAAGTAATTTTGAGTATGAAAGTACACATATTAAACACTTATATATATATTCTTATGCTTCTGTAATTGCATATAGAAGGCCTAATTGCCAATATAAAATCTCTAAACTACCGGACATTAAGTACTTACTTAGACATATAAAAATACAATACCCAGATGAACCCTACAGTAATCAATTGTAAATTTTAACTACACCCATACTAATCCTATAATAATCAGACATGCCTTTATCCATTTTTCCTTCTTTAAGGCGAAATCTGGGGTGAAACGACTTGATACGAGTAAGCTTGAAACACCAAACAGTTTCAAACATTACTAACGAAGTCGAAAAGCATATTCGACACACTTCAAGAAACGTATACGTATACAAGATTATGTTAGAAACAACATAAAATTTAAGCTTAGGCATTAAAGGCACTCCCACTCTTTGAACTCTATGTTGCAATGATTAGAAGGTGCCAGCAAATGTGTACTAATTCGAATTTCATTCCCTAATCCTAGTTTAACACCTCAAGTAATGTACTTTTAACATAAATAAAATTCAAGATCCCCACTTTTTTGTACAACAAACAAAAACAACCACTCCCAGAAGGACAAAATGTGAAAAAATGATTGTAGTCCAGTCCCCAAGCAACTTTCCCAGTAACCAAACAGAAAGTTGAAATAGAGTGATAGATAGCAGAGGAGCGAAAAGAACAAACCTTCGGAGGGGCGTTTGACGCCGGGGACGCCGGGCTCGACATCGGGAGCTGGCCATGCTGAATGGGGAATCAAATGCGGCGGAAGATACATGGAGCTAGCTCGGGTGTGGTGGTCGGCGAAAGGGTCGGACCCGGAATAGTAACGGAGGGCGGGGTCGGATAGGTAGGAGTCGGTTAGGGCGCGGGAGGAGTAGACGGAGGAGAGGGCGGCGGCGGTGGCGGCAGAAGTGGCTGATTGAGCAGCAGCGCCGAAGCCGTAGAGATGGCTGGACATTTGATCGAGAGGTGTAGATAGTATAAATTGCAGATTGCCCCTGGTGCCCTAGAAAGTAGAAACTGTGAAATTATTCAGGACCACCGTTGTCGTTTTAATGGGCGCCGTCCCTTTTGGAGTTTTGGACTGTTTTGGATTTTTGGACGGACTATAGACTATAGGTTAGGTGAAGTGACTGCTAATTTGCTAGCGACCAGGAAAGTAACGATACACATGCATCTTCTAGCAGTGGATTCGATATTTATCCATCTATTTTTTTAATTTAACTTATTAACGTTATCTTTTATAAATAAATAATAACAATAATAATTACAAGTCGTTAGCAGTCCTAAAACTTATTTTGGACCTTACTAAATTAAAAAAAAAATACGAAAAGTTTAAAAAAAGCTTTAGTTTTAATGAAAAATGATAATAAAGTGTAATGAATAATACCAGAAAAAGGTAAAAATGTGATTTTTCGTTATAAGTGAACAGTATCGAGAGTATTTCGTTAAAGCTCTCTTAAATTTATTTGATCCCAACGTGCATCCGTCAATTTAGGAGTAAAAATATTTACTTTATAAAAGTTTAATCACTTACCTATTTTTCTTTCTAATTGGGGGAATATAAATGACTTTCCAACTGATTATACATGTGTGGATCTTTAGATCAATTTTATTATCGTGGTCGTTTAAAAATTTGAAAGTTATTACATTTTATACAATTATAATGTTTGTTGGGTGGACTTGAAAGTCCATAGGTTTGGAAAGTGAAATGAAGGTCCCAAATTTGATAAGTGAGTTCACAAATCCCATAGGACATATAAATACGTAGCTAAGCTATTCAAATTTAGCAAGAAATTAACAACCTTTGTATAGGGCGCTATTAAAGATGGGAATATACTTTTGCTCAATCCGATTCTCGTTAGATTATTTAAAATTTTAAGATTCGTAACTTAGATCAATTAAACTAAACTAATTTAACAGCAACTAATGAGAAAGTAACGAGTAAGCATTGCCTACTTAAGAGGTGAGCCAAAATGCATTCACTGAAGATGCTCTTAATCTTACCATCAACTTAAATCGTATACGACGTTAATGCCACTAATCACGTATTTATATTAGTACCGACTTTAGGAATCGGATCTTCTCGCGTATTTATATTAGTACCGATCTTGGAAATCGGATCTTCTCAGCTACTTTAGTATTGCGTCGTGATTAGAATTAATTTAGAGTATCAATCCCATATTAAAGAAAGAAGAGAACTTACATTTACTTATACATAATGTTGCTATTGCCCATATTCATAATTGGTTTTACTATAAAACTTCAGCTTTTTCATAATCCCAGAGTAAATTGTCTCATTCGTGAAACCCAATAAATACACATGTTTCACGTCACTTGATTTGTATTGTCCATATGCTAGATTTAAAATTTTATCACACATTAATAAACATTTTGAAAATAGCAGTTCCACGTTAAGAAAAAAAAAAAGTCCTTATGCTTAGATATTGTTCAACTACTTTTCATACTGCCAATTGATTTATAATAAAACATCAATTTTGTGAACCGAGAAGGTAAACGAGAGTCAAGCTCTTTATTCTTTTCTCGCGAGGAAAAGGGCAACGACTAACTATTTAATTGACTAAAGGTTTCGGTTTAGTGAAAAAAAAAAACTAACCGTATCGCTTTAGTAAAAAAGCCACATCGATTGATGAGCAAATGAAGTAGATTGATGAAAATTTATCGTAGATTTTTTAGATTAATTTCCAGTGGAGTATCGCTCGAACAAAATAAAGAGCAAAGAAATTAACTAAGAAAAAAAATTTACATGAGATTGGATACATAAGCAAATACATGTAGTGATGTGCGTACGCTGATTAAAACGTACTATTATTAGTATTTAGCAGGGACACAGGCACACACACAGCCTGAGCGCTAATCATCAGCCAGTGCCGGAGACGCCGAGGTCCTTTTTATTCGGGTCTTTACCGGCGCCAAAGACGGGGCCACCTTTGCCGGCAGCATCCTCCACCTTGTCTTGGAGCTTGTCAACCTGAACGCCACCCTGGTCCTGCTGGGATCGTAGCTCCGTCCTGCTCTTGTTCTCCCCTCCTTGAACCGACTCGTACGTTGTCGCCGTCTGTGATCCCGGCGGCTGAGCTCCCTGTGCTCCTGACATACCTATGAACTATGATCTCGGATGATCAAGTAATTTGCCGATGAAATGACGACCGTTGATTTATATATATCTTCTTAATTTGCTTTGGTGATTTGAGGTTATTTTGTTTGTGTGTGTTGTGCGTGTGTATGTATATATAGGCTCTGAGAGTCGTGGGGATCGAGTTTACTGATTCAGCAAGTTCAGCTGATGACACCTGAATTGATTGTTTCTGCGACACCTGTTAGGCTGCGTGGCAACAATGCATGCCTTGCTACCGGTAAGCCTAGAGCCCCAAACGTCTCTTATGCAAGCCACTACCAGTTTTTCATGAGAAAAACATGCATGATGATCAAATTACGCTCATGTTGGACCGTATCAATGTACTATTCTGTTATAATCACCGACATGGATTTAACTACATAAATATTGTTGAAAACCGTTAAGAAAACACTTTTAAAAATAAAATTCTCTATAGATCCGCTATCACCTCATGCTTTTAAGATAATATTTTATAATATTAATTATGAAGTAACAGAGAGTTCATAGATAATTCCATTTTTAAGATAATTCTTGTAACATTTCTCAATATTGTACCATGTGATGGTTTTACGTGAAGGATAGCCCTATCTATTAAAATAATTAGATTAGAATATTGAGTAATACAAAATGTCTTTGTAATTGCGAACTTACCTCTTTATAATAACAAGAAAATTTTGGATACGGTGCCTGCCTGGTACGACAACACACTTAGAGTCTCAGACAATGAGCTTCGAACAAGAGCACAGGACAGCCCTATCCAACAATTTCTCCAATATGCCATTGTTTTGGAAACCAATTTGTACATCTGGCTTCTTTTTTATCTGTGCTCTTTGCTACTCGCCTGTTGGGGTGCGGTTTCGTTACTCACATCAGATGAGGGAGAAATTCTGTCTCAAGAAGCGAGTAGTAAAGAACATGGACAACACCTCATACCTCAACCCCTCTCACATATCTCTGAGTTCTAAGCACAAGATGCTATGTGTTAGTCAAACGGCATACGAGGGTCTAGGCATACTAGAATTTAAGTAAATTCATTAAAATATTGTATATGTAAGACACTTATACTTAAAAATACATAATTTCATTGAGATATATAATGCATAACAGAATGACATAAAGATTATAAAGTATTAAAGAGTTGCGACCTAGATGGATACCTAGGCAAGCCTGGGTGGACGCCTAGGCAATCTAGACGGGGGCCTAAGCAGGTCTAGGTGCGATTTCTTAATTTTCAAACGTTTAGGGATTAATCAGGTAAGAGATTAATCAGGTGGTTGCCAGCCACCTAACGCCTAGGCAGGACTTAGGTGGGGATTTTTGGAATAGTGGGTACATGTCAACCCGTAAAACCATGCAATTAGCTATGAGCAAACGTTAGTTCCTGTCCACGTGTTGTGTGGATAATGTGGAATATCATGTAGGTCGTATCTACGTGCTTGGCCTATTAAATGATAGGACATGATAGAACTAAGGACCCAATACTTGTGGAGCTCACTAAGAGCCTATATAAAAGGGTCGAGTACCTGTCAACGGGAGAAAAATTACATTATATTATTTAAATGCTCTTGTAATTCACACCAAATATATATCAGAACACAACAGTGAACGTAGCCTATTTTTAGATGTGAACCACTTGCCACATTTTGTTCATAACTTAGATGTTTATTCCGGGCCCAACAAAAGTTGACCATACTGATTTTTGTTGATCTCCTAATTTTAAACGTTAATAGTGCTAATCATAAAATCACATATAATTTTTTTTGACATTATACGATTAACACGAGATGCCATAATAATGATAAATCCATACCATATCACATGAATTGTTGTCTGACTCCCAATCGTTGATTCATATGATTAATAGACAAATGGAACATGATGCAATATTACAAGGGGTGCTGTTTGATATTGATTATTTAGCTATGCATTTTGATATTGTTAAGTTTGGGTTCTCTTCACTTAGTATTACGGTATAGTGATTTTCACTTGTAAGTGAGAGGTCTTAGGTTCAATTCTCACCAAAGGCGAATTTGAACCATATTATTATTAACTCATTGTGAGGCTAAGCCCACTCTCTTCCCATTAGTGTAAATAATATCGTTTATTCAAAAATAAAAAATAGAAAGTTCAGGTTTGTTCCATGGGAAGGTAACTTTGCTGCTCACTAGGTGGCTTCGTTTGCTATAAAGCATGGTGGGGGGTTCCTTTGAGATTCATGAAGAGGTTGACGGGCCCTTTGGACCGACCCGGATTACGTGGGTGGGGTTAACCGAAAGCGGAACTTGAAGTTGGTACTTTGGTAGGGTTTTAGGTTTTAGCAGAAAACCAGCTTTAATCTCTGCTCACAAGAAATCGTCCAAAACCTCCGAGTCAGTAACTCACCCTCCATTTTTTATTGGTGATTCGGTGACTCAGTATCCATGATCAAAAACAAACTTCGAAAGTAAAGCTTCAATGGTGAATCCCAAGTAAGTCCTCTCTCTCTCTCTTCCCCTTTTGGTTCTTCTGCAATTGGAAATTCATGAAGGCGTCGTTGCTGCAATGAATCTGAAAGTCTTCCATGTGTATGTGGCTTTCGTCCATTAGACTGGGTTTTCCCAGAAAACGCATTCACCCAACACAAAACAATCGCAGCCGTTCGATCTTCGTCCATGGCGGCGGTGGCGGTGTTGGTGCTTTCAAGTGGGCGTCTTCCCAGGCAGCACTTGCCCTCTGGAACTCCAGTTCCTCCCACTCTGATGAATCGTCTGATGATAGTTCTGTCAGTGTCTGCACCACAAACGCAGGCACCAATGGTGCCAATATAACCCATTTCTTCTCCGAATTAGATACCTCTGGGGTTGTTAACAACCTCAACAGTCTAAGAAACGAACCCAATTTGGCGATTTCATTCTTTCACCGGGTGAAAGGAGATGGTTTTCGACACAATGTCTACACGTATTCTGCGCTTATTAGAATTTTGTGCTATTGGGGTCTGGATAGGAAGTTGGATTCTCTCTTTGTGGACCTTATTAATTGCTCTAAAGACCTTGAATTTGAGTTTTCGGATTTGATGGAAGCGATTGCGGAGGGGATTGAGGTTTCCCCATCGACAATCCGAGCTTATGATGCATTGCTCAAGTCTTTTGTCAGTTTGAACATGTTCGATGAGGCTATTGATGTTTTATTTCAGACAAGAAGGCGTGGGTTTGTGCCACATATCTTTACTAGCAATTTTCTAATGAACCGCTTGGTTGAGCACGGTAAAGTGGATATGGCTGTGGCTATATATAAGCAGTTGAAGCGGATTGGTTTGAACCCTAATGATTACACTTATGCAATTATCATCAAGGGACTCTGCAAGAAAGGTAGTTTGGAAGAGGCAGTGGAAGTGTTTCAGGAGATGGAGGAAGCTGGGGTAACCCCTAGTGCCTTTGCCTACACAGCATATATTGAAGGGCTTTGCACCAATCACAGGCCGGATTTAGGGTACCAAGTGCTCCAATCATGCAATGGGGAAAATGTCCTTATCGATGTGTATGCTTATAACGCTGTCATTCGTGGGTTCTGCAATGAGGTGAAGTTTGATGAAGCTGAAAGCGTCTTTCTTGACATGGAAAAGCGAGGGCTGGTCCCTGATTCATATACCTACAGTGCAATGATCTGTGGCTACTGCAAGAGTTCCAAGTTGTTAAAAGCTTTGGCTCTCCATAATGACATGGAGTCAAAGGGTATAAAAACAAATTGTGTGATTGTTAGTTTGATTCTTCAGTGTATGTGTAAGATGGGCATGCCTTCTGAAGCGGTGGATCAGTTTAGAGAATATAAGAGCTTAGGTATCTATCTTGATGAGGTTTCGTACAATATCGCAGTGGATGCTTCGTGCAAGCTGGGGAAAATGGACCAAGCCTTAGAATTTCTTGAAGAGATGAAGTGTAAGCATATGGTTTTAGATATTATGCATTACACAACATTGATCAAAGGCTACTGTCTCCAAGGGAATGTTGCTGAGGCCGTAAGCCTGTTGAAGGAAATGAAGGAAAAGGGTCTGAAGCCAGACATCACAACTTACAATGTACTTGCTGCTGGGTTTTGTAGAAATGGCCTGGGAGCCAAGGCGCTTGACCTTTTGGATCATATGGAGGCACATGGTTTTAAACCAAACTCTGTTACACACAACATGATAATTGAAAATTTATGCATCGGAGGAAAAGTCAAAGAAGCTGAAGGTTTTCTAAACAGTTTGGAATATAAGAATGTAGATACCTATTCTGCCATGGTCAGCGGGTACTGTGAAGCCAACCATACAAAAGAGGCCTATGAACTTCTTATTAGGTTGGCAAAGCAAGGAACTCTAGTTAAACAAGGCGTTTGCTTTAAAGTATTCAGTAAACTTTGTATAGAAAATGATAATGACAGAGCTATTTTGTTGCTTAAGGCAATGTTGGCGTTAAATGTGGATCCTAAAAGAATTATGTACAACAAAGTCATTGCTTCTCTCTGCCAGGCTGGAGAGGTGAAAAAGGCCCGTTGGGTTTTTGATTCTTTGGTTGAGAGAGGGTTAACTCCTGATGTGATTACCTACACAATGATGATGAATAGCTACTGCAAGGTGGATTGTTTGCAAGAAGCCCATGATCTCTTCCATGATATGAAAAAGAGAGGGATTCAACCTGATATCATCACTTACACAGTTTTGCTCGATGGTTTTCCCAAAAGAAATGTAAGAAGGGTTAATTCCTCTCGAGATGCAAGTGGAGATAAGGAAGAAACTTTTGATGCTTGTACTGTTTGGAGTGAGATGAAGGAAATGGAAATAAGACCCGATGTAATTTGTTATACTGTTTTGATAGACAGGCAATGTAAAACTGACAACTTTCAGGATGCTGTTGCGCTTTTTGATGAAATGATGAACAGAGGATTAGAGCCTGATACAGTGACATACACAGCACTTCTGGCTGGCTGTTGTAGGAGGGGAGATGTGGATAGGGCTGTAACACTCGCTAATGAGATGTCCTCTAAGGGAATGCTGCCAAATGCCCGGATACTTGCGATTCTACAACATGGAATCCTAAAAGCCACAAAAGTGCAGTTTCGGAAGTAAGAACGCTCTTTGATTATCAATGC